AACCCATTGTGTAATGTTCAATGGACCAATACAGTGGAAAATTTTTCTGTGATATTTCATTTTTTAAAAATGAGATATTTTAAATTCAAGTTATTTGAATAATGACTTAAATAATTTAATAATAATATTTTTTTAATAAAAAAAAAAAGATTTTTAAGTTCAAATCTATTTACACCTAAAATAAAAATCAATAGGAGAATGTCATGTGTCAAATTGGACCCAGCTATTGGACAAATTTTCGCCATGTCAGTGGGCATTAGAGCTAATCTAGAGCGGGCCTACTATAAAATTCACAGCCTAGATGAGGGTAAATGGTGGGTTGTTGCCACATGCTAAGCAATAAAGGTTATCATTCTATTAATTGAGTTTGATTCAAATTAGGAAGTTAGGGGATTTTTAGAAGAAGGTTACGTTAGGGTTTCTTTGTGTTATTAGATGAGGAATCAAACTCCCAATTGCTAGACATGAGAAACTGCCATTAGACGTGGAACAGCCACTACCTGATCATTATGGGAAGAGGACCGAAATTCATGGAGGAACCACGCCAACATCAAAGAAAAAGAAAATAGAGGGGGAAAATCAGTTTCTTTAGGACCTCTCCCAAAAATTGCCCAGTGTGCTACAATTTTAGATTTCTAGATTTCATCAACTAGCCTACTGCACAGATTTACAGATTTCTAGATTAAAGTTCAAAGAATTGTTCTTGTTCATAGCTTTAGTTTGAATCTTCTAATTTATTTGAGATTTGCTTCAAAGATTGCATCTCATTGTTGATATTTGAGACTTTGGAGGTGAACAAGCCTTGTTCTTTGGGTCTGCTCCATTAATTTGGTTAGTAATTTTCAATGAATTTTACTCCATGTGTATATTCAATTGGGTTGAATGTTTGCTTCCTCCATGCCTTCATTCATGTTGATATACCTCAGCTTTAGACTATTTTCTTTTGTTTTTGAAGCATGAATTAGTTTGCAATTTTCCAAATCTTAGATTAGCTTGTAATTGGATTGTGTTCGAGTTTAATTTAGCATTAAATCTTCAAGTAGTTTAATTGATTTTAGGTTAATATTGAAGTGTTCTTAATTTTTAGAATTAATTTGAAGTTGGATTTCTGAAATTCAGCATGGTTTGCATAGTCATAGCAGCAATCTGTAAATCCACTCAATCTCTAATTTATAAACTTCCCTTCAATGCTTGTTGTTTCTGTGTTTTTTCTTTTTTTTAGTTAATTTATTTAGGATATTGTGTTTAGTTTAGGATTTGTAGCCTTTTTATACATCTTTGTGGTTTTAAAATTGTTAAAGTTGTCCAAAGTAAGTAATAACTTATTTTACATAACACCACCCTCTATTTTACAACATCATCTGAGGCATAAAATAATTCACAAATAGATCCTTTTAGTCATCTTATTTGGAGGTTGATTGCTAAAAAGGAGAGTTGTTGAAAAAAATCTTATTTTCTCATTTTTAGAAGAAAACAAGTGGCATGCCGTAAACCTAAACTTACATAATAGGAAAAAGTTAAAGATTTTTAAGAAAACAAAATCACATAATATACAAGTGAAGTGAGTTAATAGATAAGAAAGAATTATTTTATATTGTGTAACTTAAAATAAAAAAAAATCATTTATATATATTTATAGATCTTTATAATACTTGTTGATAAAAAAATAAAAAATAAAAAGACTTTATAGTACTTCTCTAACTAATAATTATATAAAAGAAGGTACAATTTCAAAACTTTCAATTAGAATCAAGAGCACATTAAAATTTAAGATTTTAAAATATATATATATAATATATTTTTAGTTTGAAATTAATGCATATAAAAAGTTGAGATTTCAAAACATGCATGTAACTACATGATATTTATACTAAATACACAGAACCATTCATGATTACATAATATGTCTTAAATAATTTTATTTTCTTTTCATTCTTTTAAGATAGGACCTTTTAAGATATTTCAATAAATTTCAAGTTACACTTGATGCAACCTTTTAAGTCTTTTTGTATATATCTCCAAATTATATGTTGTATATACATTTTAAAACCCCAATCTCAAGTAATAATATATAATTGCCTCAAATCGCAATCCCCTAATAAATATTAGAAGTAAAGTTGACTTTAATTAATTTAGTTTTGTTTGGAGAGCTTTTGGCTAGAACAGTAATAGCTCCCCCACGTAAAAACTCTCACTAGACTTGAGATTGAGTCCTCCCTATTTCCCTTTCCCCAAAATGTAATCCTCTCAAATAATAATAATAATTTTTTTTTTTTTATCAGCAAAGTGAAATCATATTATAGTAGGAGTATAACAAATACTCCCTTATACCAGTACACTGTCTAACCGAAGTACAAAAACCAGCAGAAAAACACAATAATAATAATAATAATAATAATAATTTAGTTTTGTTCTTGTTTGTTTGTCCAAGGTATCCAACATGTAATATGGATTTCATTAATAGGGTAGAGGGAAAGAAAGGCATCCACGGTGAAGGGACAATCGGTAATGCATGTCTCATAAGATGTAATTGTGATTGGCCAGAAGTGCCCATTATAATACGATTGACTGCGATAATTCAATGGAAAAATATCATTAGCCTCTCAAAATAATTTTTATCAGTGAATAAGTTTTGAAAAAAATGTTTATTAATTATATCTATAAAAAAATTAGGTAAATATTTTTTTAAATTATATAATTTTACTTAATTTTTATTAAAAAATTAATTTTTTTTAATTTTTTAAATATAAATAATATTATTTTAATTTTTTATAATATTTTATTAAAATAAAATATTTTTAAATTTTTTTATTTAATTATTTTATAAATCCAACCAAAAATGCTAATACCATAAGTTTTTAATGAAGTTTTGGTGCCAACTAAACCTCAAAATTACAATTTATAGAAATATGCCCAATATAAATCAGGTGTCAGTCACGTGATTAATTTTTTTCTTCAATAAGAAAAAAATTATTAATTTAAGTAAAAAAATACTAATAAAACACTCATGTTTCTCTAATCTCTAACTTCAATATGTATCAATAAAAGAAATAAATACCAACGAATCTATTCATCTTAGTGAAAGAAATTTAGTTTCTTATAAATAAATTTTTGAGATTGACTCTTGTAAATTTAGAAATAACCACCGGAAGAACTTCTCCCTTACTAAGATCTAATGCAATGCGATTTTGAATTAATTGAAATCTAATATAATTATCAAATATCAAAAAATTAATAAAAAAATAAAAAATATATATTATATATATAATTTATATAATATTAAATTATATAATATTTATTATTAAATAAGAGTGATTAATGGACTGCCCCATCCGATACTCTTATTTTACATCGAAACCACGTAAGCAATTGCGTGTCTTTTTTTTTTTTTTGGTGAAAAGCAATTGCGTGTTTTACTTGCATCCTTTACTTCTTTCCGCATCCACACGGGACTTTGAAAACGATGAAAACTTTATCGACAAACAAGTCCTCCAAATTGTAATATTCTATACAGAGTAAATACACCAAAGGTAAAGATAAATGGACCATGGCTCATGCGGCCTTCTCAGTCTATTTTTTCTGCACATTTGCTCTATAGTACAATTTTAGGGATTTGTTCACCAATGGAAATTGTCTTAAAGAGTTAATTCGCGTATTTTTTTCATAATTCAATTCTTTTTGCTTTACTTTTTTCTTCTTCTTTTTTTTTTATAAAAGAAGTTTCCGGTTTGGAACTAATGTATCATGTAGAGAGACAAAAGAGTAGTCCAATTTATATAATGTAATACAAAATCATGTGATTGAAAATGAGACACAGTAATATTGAAAATGAAACAATATTTTGCTCCATTCATATAATGAATTGGTTATAACCAAAATAATTCGTCTATTGCGGCAGATAGCAACTTTCATCAGGCATGTGAATTTTTAATCTTTTAATGAATTTATATTTTTTATTAATAAATTTTTTTTGATATAGTAAGTAATAATTCTCATTGTTTGCTGTCTAAAAATTGTTGTTTAGGCCGTTCATACCATCCATACATAATGTTTCCATCATATCTGTGGCCTTTGAGCAAGACCCTATTGAAGTGGACTCATCTGTGAATGTGATCAGGTTAGGTTTGATTATATATGGTTCTGTTTGTCTAGTGGCGTAGGTGGGATTTGACCGTTTTCAAAAGCATACATAGTATATGGAGGGGATTGCAGTGTCGGGGATGAGGCCGGTGCATGTGGGCTTGTAACGGGTGGTTCCCCTCCGCCCTCGACCAGACGGCAGCAGCACCTAAGCTTGTTGGTTTCTTGGCGCATCAATTTCAACAAATTTATGCTTTTCATGTGCCATTACTCATTCGTGGGTCCAATTCACTCCTAACTTGTTTATATTCACTGAGACATAATATTTATATATTATTAATAATAATATAAATAATTTAGTAATAAATTTTTTTATTAAAAATAACAAATATTAAATTTAAATTATATAATTTATGAATAGAGTAGAATAAGAGATGTCAAATAATTGTAATTATAATAAAAAAATTATTTATATATTATCAATTACATCTAATTTTAATTCTTTATCTCTTTATTATCAATAATTAAATTTTTTTTCCAAAGATTTGGAAACCGGAGCTTGGATACGAACCTTCTGGGCTTTTTTGTTTTTTCTGTATTTTTTTATGAACAGTTAAAAGCTTTTCGTTAAATGAGTACCTCGTGGCTCTATGGCTCTTTAGTTGTTTTCAACCGGGGTAAAGCTAAGATCAAACCCCCACTTGGCAGCTCCAATTGTTACATGACTAATAAAAAATGAGCTTTCCTCCAATCTAAATTACTTTTATTTGAAAAAATATCTTTTAAACTTTTGGACAAAACTTAAGGCATTTAGGTCATTAGAAGATATTACCTTCAGAAATTTTTAGAATGAAGTTTTTCTTTACCCTCACTTTTAATTTATTAAATCATTATATATATTTATCTATATACAATTATTATGTACATTAATTATATCAAAATTTTAACAATTCATCTCTCTATTATAAATGATTATGATTTATTTATTTCTTTCTTAATTTTTAAAAAATAATTATCCTTTTTATTTAAAAGGTGTTTTAAATCTCAATCATTCATAAAGAATAGAAAAAATATCAAAATTTTATTTAAATTATATTTGTATGAGTTGTGCCAACATTTTATGCAACTGATGTATGCAAGAGAGTTGACACAACTTTACACACATCA